CCGCCTCCCCTCCGCCCTCGCGGGCTGGGCCTGGCCCCAGGGGCGGCCCCGGGGCCCTGCGGGAGGCGGCGGGCCATGGCGGCGGGAGGGACGCTGCTCCTCAACCTCAGCTCGGCGCCGCGGGGCCCCAGCCGGGTATGTGGGGCCGGGGGAGGCCGGGGGGCTCGGCCCCGGGTGCCGGCTCTTGCCCTGACTGGGCCGGGGGGGCACCGCGTGGCGGCTGGCCCGGGGGAGTGGGGAGGGTTGGGGGGGAAGCCAGCGCCTGAAAAGTTACTAAATGGAGTTTTTGGCTTTTTTTTTCCACACACACATCCCCAAACGGGGTTGGTGTCCGCACGGGGTGGGCCCGGCCCTCGGCTGTGGAGGGGGAGGCCTCGGCGGGGCCCAGGTTGTCTGATCCCCCTGAAGGGGCTGCAGCCGGACGGGCCCGGGCTCCCCCCGCCGCCCTGGAGGCTGCTGCCTCGCTGGGGCTGGTCGCTGGTGGGGAGCGCTCCGACAGGCCCCTGCCTCCTTTGGAGACGCTTTGAAAGGCTGTCAGGGAGGGGAGGTCTTTTTTAGAGTAAACTCACGCTTGTGGGGATGCTACGAGCTGCAGGAATAAGTGCTTTACGCTCAGAAGGAGAGCAAGAATGGGTTGAATAGGTGTTCTCAAAGTTATTGTTACAGTAATTCTGGTGGTTTTTTTCAACTATTATTCTCAATTTTGAAACCGCTTGTAAAATACTGTGCAAAAGCACGTGAGAGTTAAGTCTTTGGCAGGGTTTACCCAGGTTATAAGGGGTTCTATGAGGTAGGGCAGCACCCCCGTCCTTTTTCTGATTGCGAGTGTTGGTGGTTGGAGGTTGGTTATTTGGGTGGTTGCTAAAAATGTGAAGAAACAAGTGAAAAAGAAGTAATAGAGCTTGGGAACAGCTGGTTTCCGGGAGGACAAAGAAAATCAGATTGTGCAGCTGGGAGTGGAGAAGAGAGAAAAAAGTGGGGCAGGATTGTGCTGGTGCTTCACACGTTTCAGGACTTTTGCAATTGCATCGGGGAAAAACAAGCTGAGGGAAAAGGGGCTGAGGGACATTGAAGGGCTCTGGGGACCAAAGAAAATGAATTTTCTTTGTTACCATCAATAAGGGATATGGGGAGAGCAAAAGCTTCTCTTAAGATGATTGGAAGATTAGTAAAATAAACTGGTTGCTTCAGAAAAATTAAAAAAGAGCTCAGGAATGCTGAAAGTTGGCAGAAGCATAAGTTGGAGAGAAGTACAGGCCATGCCTCCTGCCCAGGAAAGGAGGCCTACAGGGATGGCTTTAATGTAATCAGGAGATTTGCAGAGCTTTTGAGAGAGATTTTTGAAGCGTGTTCTGCTCAGTTACTGGAGAAGCCAGATGAAATCCTGCAGAGATGAGCACTATATATGACTCTAGATTTCTCTTTGCATTTCACCGGTGTTCAGAGGTCTCAGGCGTAGGGGTGAGTCTGTTAGAGTAGGAACTGTCTAGCTGCAAAAATCAAACTTAGTTTCTTTCATCATGGGGTAGGGGATTCTGAAAATAAGGGATCTTTCTGTGGGATGATGTTTGTGTTCAGCATGATATCATGTTGTTAATTCTCAGTCATTAATGAATACTTGCTGTCTGGTTTGTTTGTTAACATTAAAGCAGTCTGGTCCTCTGAAGAGAAAGCTCCAGTCACCACATGGAAACCCCCCTTTGAAACGTAAGCGTAAACCATCAATAAGCACCTTCAAGAAATGTGCTACAGAAGCTGACATCAAGGAGAAGGGAAGTTCATCACAAAAACCTCTTCCTAAGAAGCAGTTGACTGGGAAACAAAATGAAAGCCAGAAAAGCAAACCTTCCATTAAGACATCCAGCCTGTTTAAAAACAACCCCGATATCCCGGAAATTCACAGGTATTTTAGACAAATGGGAGGAAAAACACCCTTTCAATGCCTTGAAATTTAGTGTCTTGAATTCTTGCCCTTGCTTGGGCAGAGTAGTTGCTTGGTACAAGTACTATCATTGCTGCTTACATAGAATATTCTTGTAGCATTTTTAACCACACCTGATGCTTTGTTTTCTTTCCCCTAACTCAGAAAAGCAGTGCAGCAGGTGCAAGAAAATGTTTTTACTACAGATTCTTTTAGCCAGTTGGACCTTCATCCCCACCTGGTGAGTGGCAGGAAGGCTGTGTGCCTTGAAATGTCCTTATTTGGGTGGGAAGCAGGTTAGAGCACAGATAGGGAGACTTTTATTCCTGGTGACTTAGACAGGCTTGCCAGTTCTTTGCCTGATTTTGCTGCAGTCTGTTAGCTCAATGTGCTGGCCGGTGTCCTGACACGTCCCCAAACACACTGTCCCAGCACCCTTCCCTCTTTGCAGTTGTGATACCAAAAAAAACCCACAAAAAAACTATTTGAGAGTGCAATATTTTCTAATATTTTGTGATGTACCAGCAATGGTGTAATTCTGATTAACTAAGAAGTATTTTGAGGATGTGGGAACTTTTACATCCAGTTGCCCTGGGCCAGTAATGTAGAGAATAAGCATCAGTTTTCTGGATTTTGCTTTATCTTGCACTACAAAAACTAACAAAAGAAACAGTTTGACAATGAAACCTGCTTACTGCTCTTTATTATTTCTCTAGATTTCCACAATAAACACCGTCCTAAAGATAACTAGCATGACCAGGTAAGCAAATTGTTACATAGACTTTGCACTTCAGTACCCTTTAAAGCAAATCATTTATGATTGTTTCATTATCTGTAGTTGGATTGTGAAGACCACAGTACCTGGGGAACTGTCCCAATTGCCATAGGGTTTGTTGCTTTCAAAATTTGAGATGAGAAATAACTTTTGATTTGTTACTTATGTAGCACAGTAAGTCAGTTTTCACAGCTGAAGGTGGAACCTTGGAGTCCTGCCTTCTAATTTGGTACTTGAATCATAAAATTAGCTGGTTTCCACTTATCACATCTAATGTCTATCTAGAGACTTCCCTTAAAAATCACATCTACTGATGTAGCTACACAGCAGAGATGGATGTGTGGAATTTGGGGTAAACAGTTTTGAAACAGTCACTGTATGTTAAAACACTAGGGCTGTATCCTGTGTTGTGTTTGTATTTCCTTACCTGGTTTGTTTGTTACACAGTGTTCAGAAGCAAACAATTCCCGTGCTCCTGCAAGGCAAAGATGCTCTAGTGAGATCTCAGACTGGTTCAGGTCAGTGTTTAATTGTCGGGCTCCCTCCCTGGGGTGTATGAAACTGGATCCCCAATACAGACCCAAACCTTCACGTTCCCAGTACAGCTGATGGAAGTGACAGGCTGGGAAGCCTGACGTGGGACTCTGGTGACACAGACAGATGCTGTGCAAACTTCTGCAGCGGTGGGACTGAGTGTTGATGTGCAGCTGCCAGTGGGCCTATTCCAAGGCTGCTGAGGGGATGCAGATGCAGGGGCAGCAGAGCTGAGCAGCACACACTCTTATCATCCAAACTTCTGTGC